TTATTTTTTTTTTTTTATTTTTTTTTTGGTGATTTTATACTATGGAGTGAATAATAAATTTTATGGAGCCCATGCAAGTAAATGCGTGTGATAGTGGTACTTTGCATGGGCCATATAAGATCGAGCGTGACCTTGATTTAAATATTCTTGAATGGAATTAGCATGGGTTAAATGATTACATTGATGACTTAGGAAAATTAAAGAAAAAAACGAATTAAGATTATTATCTCTAGAAATTTAACAAGAAAAAAAAAAATAAAAGGAAAGAAAGAAGGTGAAATAATATTGGTTCAATTATAATTTATGCTTTGTGATATTTTAGAACCCATATGTATATAGAGAAAGAATCGTGGATGGATCATAAAATTTTTTAATGAGGTAACTATTAAAAAGGAGCAAGAAGCCTCATTCCTCATAACTGTTTTTTTAATTTTCTTTTTATTCTTTTTGAAACCTAACCCTAAACAAATTAATCATTTATTAAAGAAAATATGATGTATGCTAGCCTTTTTGAGAGTGCTCAATTAGTGCTTTCAAATTATGAAATGAGTATCGTATTGAAGGCGTTTTAGACTTTCAGTCAGGATCATAATCGAGTATAGTGGCTCTAAATATTCCATGTCCTTTTCATCTTTTGTGCAATGATAACTGGTACAAGAAAGTAAGATATTATGAATATTGCCAATAAAATTTCTTGAAAAATGAAATGTTAGGTCTAACTAGTTGATATATGGAGTGAGATTTCATTTGATATTTCTATTTAATTGAATAAATGACACATGCACATGATGGTCTCATATTTGCACATCGTGTCATTCATTCAGTTTTAATTAAACACATGATGAAATATGTAAATGAAACAGAAAATCTGATTCCTATATAGTATCATTTCTTTTGAAATAATAATACATGGGTCAATTATTTATACTTTAATTAATTAGCAATGAAAAAATTAGAGACTTGCAAAATAAATATATGAAGGTGATTGAAGAGAGATGGAAGTGGAACAGGAAGTAGGTGGTTGGGCCAATTTAGCACCACTTAGAGGAAAGAAGAAAAATGTGGGGCCTAATGGTACTCAGACGCTAATTGGTGGTGGGCCCATGAGGTCCAATGGGCTTCTTGTGGACTACTACATAAGTTGAATTTAAAGAAGGTTTGTTCTCTTAATTAATTCTGTGGGCCTTTTTTCAAGCTTCGAGCCAATTGATTTTCATGTCTATCTATAACCCTAAATCATTCTGTGGTGGCGATTGGAATGGTTTTTTTTTTTGTTTAGATTTGATTTATTGAATGTAGTTGGTTTAAAATTGGGAGAAAAAATAATAATTGGGTGGAAATTTGAAATTGTATGAGAGCAACTGTAAATATTAATGATGATTTGATACAATAATGTTTGTAAATGATTGGTTGTAAAAAATAAGTGAGTGTATGAGTAGTGAATTTTGTTTGAAAATAAGAAATAATGATTGGTTGATATTATTTAAATATATAAATAATATTTAAGAATTATGATTAATTATTCGAGATACATTTTCTTTTTTAAGAAAATGATTTCCTAATAAATGTTTAAACACGTGTTGTTACTGCATATATATTTTATTACAGTTATTTCAGTCAATTGTGACATACGTTGGACTCCAAATAAGGATAATAGTGGTTATCAAGTAGTATAATTTCATTTCTCATATAATATATTATCTAATTTGGTATTTTATCCTTTCTTCTTTTCTTTTTCTTAATCTTTATAAAATTGCAGTGGAAGAGATTATTATTTTCCGAATTTAAGGCAATATTTTTTATTTTAATGTTATTAATAATGGCACATTATACGCGAAAATCTGAAAATATAGCTTTATGCCTAAGTGTAAAGATTTACAGGCCTTAAATTACCCACGATGACCAGGACAGATTTTCATAGCTGGAGTGGACTGGACTGCAAATTGGGGGCCTTTGTAGGTATTCAGTTGTAGTGGACTGGACCACAAATTGGGCCCCTTTGTGGGTTGTGTTGGGCCTCCGTTTAAATCACAATAGTCATGATTCTCGTGCGTGGCGTAATTTTCTCTTAAAAAATTGGCCCTTTATCTAATTATCACATTTACAAAAAACATGTAAATATAAGACAGTAAAATGAAATCATGCATAATAAACGAGTTATAACTTATAAATTAAAAAAATAATGTAATATAGGATCCAAATACCAAAAAATTTGCATATTTGCAACTAAAATAAAAAATTTCTGTCAATGTGATAATAGAAAGGAATTCGTTGGTCGTGTAATTTTATTTTTTTAAAAAAAAAAAGTCAAAAAATTGTTTTCAGAGACTCAGAATTGTGCTAATTTTTACTTTAAAAAAATAATGAGAATTGTCTCGTAATACTTTTGCATTAATACGAGACACTTTAACCATCCAACTCTAGAGACGGCATAATATAATGTAAACACAAACATCAACAGAATTGTATGTATATACCTGCTACGGACTATCTACCTTTAATTTGTCTGTCTACAAATAGAACTACTTTTTTTTCTTTTCTTGTGAAATTTGTTGTAAGAAAATAGTTTTGTCCAAAACTAATTACAGCTTTATCATTTTTTTTCCCATCTCTTGTTCTAGAAATATGACACGTAACTGAAAGAGTACAAAAGCAAAGAGATCTTCTAATGCGTGAAAAAAATCTGAAAATTTTAATTTGGACATCTCAATTAATTCTGCCAACTTACATGTTATGACTTAATTTATTTTGTTTAGATTTTGAATTCATGTACTCTTAAGATTAACAATTTCATATTGGTGTGTTGAACATAAATCAAAGAAGTTTCGTAATAAAAGGCTTCATTAGATTTATGTCACTGCTCCTTAATCAATTGAAATGTATTTTATTAAAAATATAAACACAATTGGTATATATATATATTTCTATATATATATATATATATATCAATTCTAAACAACTTGAAGAAGGCTCTTTCCTTTTAACTCATTTTCTTTTGCCACAAAAGTATGACTGATTTTCCTTCTAAGAGCCTCATCTTAGTGACCCTTTTCTTGGTTTTGCTCCTCTCAAGAATTTCTCAAGGTATATAAAGAACCTTCTTCTTGTTTTTATTCTTGTTCGTAGTATTATTATTTGGTTTAACATCTCTTATATCAGTTGAATAGTTGTATAGCTTTCAAATTCAATGTCACATGAATATTTTAATATTTCGAAAAAAGGGTCTTGTAAAGGTAATTCAAGAGCTAAAAATTTTAGCATATACATGTCTAGTTATTGGTTGTTTTTTCTATAATTTTGAATTTTGAGTAATGTAAAAATATTTTTCTCTTCATGTAGCAAGATATTTATCTACAAATAAACCTGGAAATGGGATCAATGTGATGGAAAAGGTTGCAAAAGAGGAGATTTCAGGCAATGGAGATTTTGCAGTCATGGATTACTCTCCTGCCCTAAACAGAACTCCTATTCATAATTAGAAAAATTTAAAACTACAAATTAAAGATAAATTGTGTAATCGTGTATTGATCTAAAATGATATAGGTATGTGAAGAAATTAATTTATTTGTAGTACTGTTCTAAATAAATTTAAGAAAGTGTTATGGGCTTGTATGTAAATGCAGATTTGTGACTAGGATTTTGCAGGTATTTCAACAGGTGAAAATATAAGCTACTAGAAACATTTATGGCTTCATATTTGCTTGATAAAAATTCTAATCCCTTCAAAATATGGGATGGAGCAAAGAATCATTTATGGGTGCATTGTTACAAAAATTGTACATTGCAGAACTATTTTCAACTTAATACAGCAAAATTATTTCTGCGGATTTTACTTATTAGTCATATGCATGTATAGAACATTTGACTCGAACCAAACTATTTACAAATACAACTTGATTCGACTCGTTCGTTTACTTCAACTATCTAAGTCTGAGCAGCAAAACAAGCACACGCTTGTTTATTAACCGAGTCAAACTGAGTTCATTCACAAACATCTCCTTTTTTTTATTATTATTATTATCTCCTTATACAAGTTTCTTTGCTAACAAATCAAGCCTAACATGTCCACTAATTA